ATCACATATTATATCTAGTGTATCATAATACTTTTTGATACTGATACAAGTATAATGCATCTGTTCCTTTGCGCAGAATGTGCGCCACAAGCCAGTCCCCTTTAAGTCCATCTCTCCCATGGCCCTGCCTCTTGCAAAGCCATGCTGAAGCAGCTAGCCTGTCAAAACACTGTCATCTCAGCCTATCTCAGTTCTTGTTCGCCCATCAGAAGATGCAAGAAAAGAAGCAAACCGTCACTGTCGACTCGAGCGGTCCCTGAAAGGTACTCAGTACTAGACGTTTCAACAAGTGCCAGGGCATGAGCAAAGAGGGCGCGTTCACCAGATCAGGTCTTGAACGTACACATCACACAATGACGGCCTTCAGCAAGACTCACAGGTCACTTCTACTTTAGCTTCCTACAACTTGAGCCAAAGTCAATGTGCCAAACCATGCCAACCCAACAACTTGCCGTGCCGTTGCAGCTGGACGAGGTTCCCCGTTCAAGGGTCTACTAGATCTACATCAACATGTCGAATTCTTCTCGGCTCAAGATGGCGAAGGCGCAACACCACTACAACTGCAATTGTCCAAAAATCACTAGAGGACAGTCACGACACATCTTGTTTCGCGTGTCAACGACAGTAGTGAGCATAGGTGCGCTTGTGGAGCAAGCAGTCGTTAACTAGCAGCCAGGTGCGTCACGAGAGGATGCAAAAAAATGCAGGAACCAATGATGAGAGGGCTTCTGTTTCCAATCAACTCATACTTACCCCCCAATTGGTGTCATTGACGGTGTCTGCAGTTGGACACAGTTCCATGTTCTTGGTATGGCTGCTTCTTGATCCTTGGCTTTGCAGACCTCCGTGACACACTCATTCGGCTGCATTCACAGGAATGTCATTCCTCAGCCATCAAGGAGACTGTGCCAGAGCCGCCCGGTGTAGTAGGTATTTCTTGCAAACACAAACCGCCCGATGGGTTTCTCTGAAAATGTGCTACACAATGGTATACACCAAAATGGCCATCATATCCTAGCGGGGAAAATAATGATCAACCATCAAATTCGGAGATACCCCAGAAAAAGGACAAACCCAGAGCCTCCCAATGCGATAGCTACCAGGTTGGTCAACAAATCTGAGCAAGTCATGTATCAGGCGTGTGCTGCATGCAAAGTTCATGGATACTTCTCCCAACATCTGGAACAGGAGCGTGGCATCTACCATTCCCCTGACTTGTTCTTAACGCGGAGAATTCTACCCGTTGTAGCCAAAGATATTCGCTTGTGGGTGCGCCAGCGAACTATGTCTAAGTGGGACCTTGGAGACCCTGGCCATCGTCATCATCTTCCTCTTTTTTCTCCTCGGAGTCTTTGGGTTCCTCCTTGGACTCCTCGGCAAAAGATTGGCGAGGATGAGGATTAATATATATATATATAATTATATATATAATTATATATATAATCATATATATATAATTATATATATATATATTAAATCATATATATATATGATTATATATATATGATTTAATATGCCATTTGTTTCCAAAAGAGAAGAAACCAAAGCCATTGTTGGTTTGGAATGTTTGAAGTTTGGCAGTCTAGCACTTGCGGGCGCTTTGACAGCCTTAGACCCGGGACATCATCCAATTCATCCAGAAGTCCAACATTGTCAAGGAACTCAAAATTGAAATGCAAAAAGATGATAATGGTTAATAATGGTTGATAATGGAACATATGTATATTACAGTATATATATATATGTATAAAGATGTATATAGATATACAAGAAAAATATATGTTTGCTGCCTGTGGCCATCCACCCAGATCCCCCCCAAAAAAAACAACTCAAGCCTTCACCTTTGTGTCGGGCGCCCCGTTCGCTTCCACCTGCAAACGTCGAAGGAGCTTCCACCATGTTGAGCCATGAACCATTGAGACCAATGACATTCCATGTTGCTGAGTTTCTAAACCCTAACAACTAGTTTTTCTCTCTTAAAAGGATTTGTGGACTGGGAAGATGGGGGGGGTGGGGGAGCATGTCCAGAACAAGAACATGCAAATCTCATGTTGGTCCCATTATTTTGGTGTAAAGACAAACGGAAAATGCCCTCAGCTTGGACCATTTTTGGAACTTCGCCAGCAGGTTTGTCACCACGCCAAGACCTGCGCAGCGGGGCCAACTTTTCACCCTTGACATGTGGAGATTCCGAGCATCTTCTTCGACAGACAATTCAGTTAACAGATGTGTTTTCTTCTACTAAAAAAATAGCCGCCATTGTACCATTTCACACATCAAAACTCGACAAATGGCATGCAGTAAGTCGTGGCCATGGCCAATCTCTGTGTCTAACCGACAACAATTGCAAATGGATCATTCCATGTTTCCACACAGAACAAAACACAGCCGGAACGTCTCACAACTATATAGAAGTCCTGTGATCTTCCCTGTCCCAAACAATTTAGTTGCTTTCAGTACATCTCCATGATATCACAGGTACGATTGAGCAACTGGAACGCTAAAAGTTTCATGCAGGGTACAGCTGCGAAATCAAAGACTGATCCAGGTGAAGAGAAAAGAGACCTCAACATGGAAGGAACAGTACAGCATTAAGTACTATATAAGATTAATTATATAAGTATGTAAGGAGGTAAAATGTTTTAAAAGGCTCACAGACTCTGACTCCAGTCAGTCGAACACATACAACCACTCTCAGCCAACCATGGTGAATTGCGACTCGGGCAATGGGAACCCCGCCATTTATAGATGTCCCATTTTTCAGCCCTATTTATATACGATGTTTCAATCGCCAAGGTTGATTGCCAAATGGCATCCAATAGAACCAGTAGGACTGCAGCTGTTTCAGCATCCCAGTGCGCACCTCGTGAGGCTGTTCTTTCACTCCCTGGCCGAATTCAAAACCACCCTGCGTATTGGGGTCAAACCTGGGTAGCTGCAAAATTGGATACTTGCGCACTTCATGTTTGATCCAAAATCAAGTGGAACAACTTTACAACATTTTAAAACACTGTTTCACCATTGTGCGGATGTCTCAAGAGCTGAGATTCCCCCGGACATTGAATGTTTTCTCATCACTTTTCACATTAGAATTGCCATAAATCGGGGTATCCACTGGTATGAAAGCCTTGGCTCTCGTGTTGTGACCCTTGCGGGATCAAAGCGAAGTCTCCGGGACTCCTGTGAAGTGAAAATGGGAGCAGGTAGCAACCAACAGTGGGGGATGTTCTGAAAAATTGGGGGGGTACAACAATGGAAAGAGGAACTAGTAGTTGGGATAGAAAGAACCAAATAATGATTTGGACACAAATATCACAAATAATACACATAACATTTTCAAAGAGATGCTGCGACATGTTCTTTTTACTTCGATACCAATGCAAGTTTCAACATCCCTGGTGGCCAAACAAGCCATCGCTCCAGTGTCAACTTGCTGCCGAAAATGCCGTAGAGATAAAAGTAGCTGTCCTTGCCGTGGCAAACTCTGCGCAACTACTTGTCCGTTCTGAAGGATGCGAAAGATCCACTTAGTATCTCTCTTGGCTCAGCAGATTTATCTTGATGTGAAAAGTGCAAGGCATAGTGAGGCCATCAGCGGTCCCACAACCACTTGCCGCTGACGACTGTAAAGACCTTGGAGAGGGCAGCCAAATGTCGGGATGGTTAAGTCTTTGCACTACCTACAGCCGTCCTCTTGAAGTCAATTTCCCGTACCATTCCTGTATCTCCGCCTATCACGGACCAAATCATCAGCCTACATTGCCATTCCTCGACTCTGTTCCCCGCAGAAACTTACCAAGTGTATCTGTAGACAATGTAAACCCATAATATGCAGCTGCTGAACGCTTGGCAAAGCCTGTCTGGAAGGCGCACATTCTCATTTTCTAAATTTGAACAGCTTCCACCCTTTGGAACAATGAAATACATCAAAATACATCAAACAGCTCTATCCCTTTGTCAACAGCTGACTAAGGACATGACGCAAACTGCGGCAATTCGGTAAGGTCCAGCCCATTTTAGCCTCTCCTGGTGAGGCTGGCTGTCATCTACCTACAATGGGTGGGAGCAACCCTGCAAGTGCACGTGAAACGTTGTGAAACTATGTTCATGTGGTTATCGCCATTTTGAAAACGGTATGATTTCTGCGAATTGACTACACTGATCTACTGATGAGACATCGATGCCCCTGCGATGTTGTCCGTAAATCGTCACAGCTGCCACTGAAAACCTCCGTCAGTAGCAAGATGAAGCATCCCAAATGCACATCGGCTGTCCGTAAGGGATCGTGGCAGCTTCATCAGGCAAGGGCTTCTCGCAAAGCCACTGTACACTCAGAGCTGGTTGACACCGTTTACCAGAAAATGCTATCATCAGTATATACTTCTGTTGAGCACGCGTGCAGGTTTTCTTGCCAATGGCTTGTCTGCAGCTTTCAACAATAGCAGCTCTGTTGCCTCTGTCGTATCCTGCACTACCAGTAAGGAAACCCCTGTCACCCAGCGATTCTATCCTTCACAAGATCAGGGTTGCCTTGAGCCTTGAGACCGATCATTACTGATCTGCGGATATCCGATGTTTAATTAAAGACTAATGTCAGTTGTCAATCAGTCTTATTCAACCTATATCTGGGCTTTGGAGCTTCATTCTACCTGGACAGTAGAAAACCCCAGCTAGACACTGTACGGACAAACAGTGATTCTATATCCCTGCCGGTAGATATGCTGTGTTTCCCTTGACTAACTTCATCTGCACCTTCAAAGAGATAGGTCGGCATATCTGCCCGACTTGGGCCAAAGCTGCGACCAAAAGACACGCAAATCTGAGCAATGCCCTGCCCACCCTGCCCCTTCGGTTTAGAAACATGAAATCCATTTCCTGACCCTTAGCGAGGTGCACATGCTGTACGAACCAAGAGCATTCCTTAAGTGTCAAAATAAGAACGGCATCCTTCCAGAAGTCTTTAAAGGCGACTGAACACCTCTCTGCAAAACCTCCAGCCTTCAATCGGGCTTCTTCCTCCCGGTTTTGTTGGGCGATAGCACGCCTTGGACATCGCACGGCCAAAGTCCCTGGCATTTCAAACTCTGTGAGATACCAGTGTGTGAAAATGGGGCACCAAAAATTGGTAGATTTTGTAGGGATGATGATTCGCCAATGGGTACCATGGGGTACCATGGGGCACCTTATTTTCAAAGCCATTCTCAAAGAAATCCAGCCCGGCCATGTCGCATTGTCGCATCACCTTTCCGTGGAATCTTGTGGATCCCGACTCATAGGCGTCCACTTTTTGCCGCTTCACACTTGCAGCAGCCTCTTGTCGCCTGGACCAAAATTACACCCTTCGAAGTTCCATATCTGGCCGGACATCGTTCCAGGATTCAGTGCATATCAAATTCATATCGTTCTTTGCTTCAAACATATTACTATATTATTTGGAAGAATTGCTGGCGGTTGAACGCACACTGAAAGAAGGTGTGCTGCAAGGACTATCTCGGGCAACATCCAGAAAGATCTTACAAAAGTCCAGTGTACATCATATATATATATATGTATATATATATCATATGCATAATGATAGATCATTATACATCATTATACCGTTGTACATCATTACACATCATAATCATACATTAAATACATCCTTTGTACATCGTTTATATGTCATTCATACATCATTATTCATTATTAATCACCATGAATCATCATTAAAAAAAAAAACTACAGCGGTTTAACGCATTTTGTCGAGATGACCGACCTCTTCTTCGAGGCGGCAGCGGCAGTTTTGCCTTTGGACGCTGCTTCTGCCATGGCTTTGGCAAAGGGGTGGCTACTTGGCAATGGCGCCTGCGGCGGAGACCCTCAAAAGATGGATGCGTAGCATCGGCGACTTCCTCTATGACAGTAACTCAGTAGTAGCTTTGCAAAAACCACACGAGTTGTATATAGATGTAGTATCAAAGACTCTTTGATACTGTCACTGGTGAAAAACCTTGCACTCGACACAACTGATGTAGCACTTGAAGCAGTTTCAACTGTCAAATTGGGATGTGATCGAACGAATCCACGAAGCTATTCGCTCCGCATGTTGATACATCGCCGCATTGCATATTTAAAAACATCCACATGGCATAATGTGAACTCAGGCCTCTTTGTAGCCGCCTGCCCAATTCACGCTTGCTCATGCAACAACACTTCAGTAACGAGTGTTTCTCCAAGGACGCTAGATAACATGACCATGCTGTGCTGGAAGTCTCGCCCTGAAGCAAGTTCTTGTGACAGCTTATCGTCCCAGCATTGGCTCACTGTTTGTATCTGGAATCTAGTTGATAGATGTTGATAGCTCAGGCCTTCGAATGCGAAGCCTTGCGACAATTGTTCACCTTTCACCTCTCTATGACATGGATTTTAAACATATTTATAAACAATTATAAACATATTTAAACTGTATAGCCATACAGAGTTTCAGATAGGCATTTCACGGTTTTTTTCGAGTTTGTTTGAAAGGTATCGGTAGCATGAAAAACCCTCAAGAGCCAGGCCTTCCCACTGGAAACGAACGAAAATCACCGTGAGGTTATCCTGCAGCATCCAGCCGCTGAGCCCTAGACAGTCACGAGCAGCCCCTCTACAGGAAAAAAACCTGCTTGAATCCACCGGAAAGTAACGACCCATATTCTCAGGATGTTTTTATAAAAACGTGCAAACAGCTGCAACGAGTAACTTGATGTAGAATCATGTATATAAATAAAATCGCGTAAGTTGACGCAAATTGATGTAAATTGTTGCGAATTGATGTAATTTCTACATCCAAATCTGATAAACCAAAGCACTACGTCTTCGTCCTCACTGCCGCGTTTGTAGGCTTCCTGAACCAGAGCCCCGCACGCTATTCGACAACCTCAGGGATCCCACGTGTGCATGTTTGTTTTGCTACTGGAAGTTGCTGCTGCTTTACCAGGTACCCCTGAATCTGCCGTTAGTACCAAAGTGATTCCTCAAAATGCGAATCCTCTGCTCCAAGTCTCAAAGGCAGATCGGGCAATGGGCGAAAAGAAAGAATGACACAAAGTTCACAAGCCAAAACAATCATGAATGTGATGTTATTTGTGATATGATGTATTTACAGAATCTTGGGAATAATCTTTTGATTTCTTTCCGCCATAGTTTCATATGGGTATGTCTGAAAATGGCGTATACCCCCAATTATAACCATTTAGTCGGGATAATGATCATTAACCATTGGGTGTAGGGGTACACTATTTTCAGACAAACCCATATAGTTTCCACTATTTTTTGTCTGAAAACAAGGTGCCCCAATTGTTTCAATCCAATGGTTGATCAGCAACCGTACCATTCAAACTGTCAACTGCGTGTCAATCCCCCATGTTTGGACAAATTCGTAGAATATATTGTTGGATCTCCATGTTCCATTATTGGGCTATAATACGTCCACATATTGTGGAGTAATATTTTTGAACATAGATATTCTTTGTTGGTTATAGCAGTTATAGCCCATACTTCCACATGTGTTTCCCCATGGTTGGTATCCCCATCGTTGGCATCGTGTTGAAATAGCCCTGGCGCCGTCCATTCCATCAAGCCACGCTTCACCGGGTCCGGTGGACCAGGTCTTCTCATCTCCAGCTCCGCACAAATCTGAGCGCCGAGTGAATCGTCATAGACCAGAAAGCATCAATCAATTGCTATAAGTATTTTATTATATATATATATATATATCGTACATATGTGTATATAATATATATATATATGGTATTATATGGTATATTCACTAAGATCTAGGGTTAATATGGGTTAATTACATTTAATTACTATGATTTATTAAGTCATTTTATCACTGTCCTTTATCAGAATCTTGTCTCATCTTGTATCAGCATCCTATGATCTGATCAGCCTAAATGATCCCAAATCTAGCCTACATGCCCGAATCGTCCATGATCTTCAATGCCAGTGTGCAGCAAACTCTGTGTGTATTAATTTGCGGTTGTGGAACATCCGAACCTGCAATGCCACTTTAAAGGATAGTGCAATGGTAAAGGCAAATCAATTCAGGAGATTCACAGCGTTTTCAGGATGTAAAAGGAGTAAGATCCGAGATATCCGAGGGTTGCGGCTTCCAGTCAGAAGTCTTGGTGTTCAATCTGGGACTGGGACTGGGAGTCTCCAATTTTTTTTTCGGTCCCCACATGCAGCCCGCCTCTTCGTCTCGCATGACGTCCGAAATTCCATCACACATCAACGCCATGGACATGTGCGTCCTGCCATTCGTTTGCATCATGACGGCCACAGCAGTTCGAGAAAATGCTCAGCATCTTGTCGGTTTGTGCCAGCTCATGAGTCTCCAACTTGAGCCTCATCGCCTTTCTATTGTCGTCCCTAATCTTTAGAGCTTTAGGGCTTTTGACAATTTTTGACACGAGCCACCTAGAGTCTAGAGACAAGAGCTACCCTCTGGTAAACTAACATAGCTATGGAAAATCACCATTTTTAATGGGAAAATCCACTATATATGGCCATTTTCAATAGCTATGTTAGTTTACCAGAGGGTACTTCAACTCAGGACGAGATATCCCGCAAGGGATCCTATCGAGTTGCACGCACTTCACATCCGGCTGTGCGATGAGCAGCGCTTTCCCAGTCACTGCCTGCACGATGTACCCTCTGGTAATTTAACATAACTATTGAAAATTGCCATTTCTAGTGGATTTACCCATTAAAAATGGTGATTTTCCATAGCTATGTTAGTTTACCAGAGGGTATGCAAGTGAAAGCTACTGTCTTCAAGTATAGGATGCAAATCTACAAAGACAGGAATCAGATGGAATCAGAACGAATGAATAGGAAACTCAAAAGAATCAGAATGAACATGAAATTGTAAAAAACTCGCAAGACTTGCAAAAGGCTACAAGACTTGTCCTGTCCCCAGCGATTTTCCATCACTCATTGACCGCCATTTTCATGCCTTGAAGTCTCGATCACCTATGGCACGAGACACAGCCAGTGCCACCGGCTCCTGCCAGGACCGCCGGCACCGGCATTCACCGGCCACCGCAGGTGTCACCGCCAGGGGAAAACACGACCGGGGCCCGCTCCTTGCCCGCAAAGCCCATGCCCAGTGCCTGTTGGCGTCGAATCTCTCGCATCTTCTCCTGACTTTGACCAATGGATTCAACCCCCATAGATGATTATATATAGATGGTTAATAAAATACAGTAAACCATTATTCATTCTTAGTGGTGATTCTTGGTGGTTGAAAAGCCGTTAAGTAAGGATGTGTGTTGAACACGTTTCTGCGGCGATTTCGGTGTTGTCCACAGCAACTCGGCCGCCTTGTATCCATCATGGGCAACCCTGTACCTGGAAGCCGCAACAGCATCTGGGTTTGAACATGGGTACCCCCAATTCCAATCAAGTCCAGAGGATTGTCAACATGTGTTCCACAATGTTCCATAAGTTTCCCATGCAAATTCGAGTTTCGAAGATTTCTGAACCCACAAAGTCCCCCAATTTTTCTGGGCCCATCTGCTGCTCCACCGCTCCGATCAGCTCACACGCCCATGCCGAAGTCTAGGACAATGCCACCGGCATCTTTGACACGCTTGGCCTCAGCCTCCAGACCCGGCCGATGGTCCTGAGACTCGGAGTTGGCCATTTTTTTTGGAGGTGAAAAAGGATGAAAATCATCAAGTCGATCCAGTCATATCCAGTCAATGTTAGAAATCTATATCAAATCTGATATAATCTGATCATATCTGGAATAGATGGAAATAATATGAAATAATATGAAATCATATCAGGATCTACCCTGCATCTGCGTCGGACGTGACTGGTCCTTGGTTGCCGCCACAGATAGCAATTGCTGCATCTGTGACCTAGTAGAGTTGCGCAGCGTACCGTGTATGACACAACATTTGCTGGCAGTGGTTCATTGACTGTTCAATGGGTGCAAAGCATCTTTAAGAATCGAAGCCGAGAGTGTGGGGTGGCAAAGCACTCATGAATTTGGGGAAAACACCCTGTTATAACGAAATGTAGTGGCCAAACATTCTGATTTCAGATTTCATCTCTTACCTAGATTCTTCAGTCCCTCTTAGGATTTCAGTCAACCTCAGGACTTCCCGGACTTCCAGATCCGACGGCCTCTGGCATAAAACCAATCTAGAATCACCCACCTGAGGGCGATGGCTCTTGGCATCTTCAATTGCTTTCTGAAAGTCATCTCGCGTTTTTTATATGACATCTTGTGGCGTAACTACCTGACATCAACTCATTTTTACAATCCCCCAAATCGAAAGAGATGCGTGTTTTTTGTTAGAAGGGGACTGTTTTTTCAAAACCCACCCCCCACCACTGCCCGCTCTCCAATGTTTTTTCTGTCAAGGAATATGGGTTTGTCCAAAACCAGGGCAACCCAAAATGCAGTGACTTATCATCATTTTCCCCATTAAATCGCCATAAATTGGGGTAAATCCACCGGTTCATCATTCTCATTCATTTTCCCTATCTAAAAATTCCATGTCGGGTATCATTTCCAGACAACCCCATGCAGATTCTGAGCGCAGTGCCCAAGCGGTGTAGAGCTTCGTGCCCACCACGAGCGCAACAACCTGCCATGGGACTCAGTGTTCACTCTAAATAGATAAATATAAATAAATAAGTAAATAAATAGATAATAATAGATTAATTATAGATACATTATATATATATATATTATATTTATAAGCACTAGATCATATTGGTGTAATCTCTATAAATCAAATGTATGTATGTATGTATGTATGTATGTATGCATGCATGCATGCATGGATGGATGGATCGATGGATGGATGGATGCATTGGTATGGTATGGCATGCTCTGGTCTGGTCTGGTATGGTATGGTATGGTATGGTTGTGTATTGTCTTGTCCTGTTTTGTATTGTACTGTATTGTATTGATGCACGCACACACGCACGCATTCACGCATTCATGCATGCATGCATGCATGCAATATATGTATGTAACTATGCAACTATGCAACTATGCAACTATGCAACTATGCAGCTATGTAGCTATGTAACTATGTAGGTAGGGGTAGGGGTAGGGGCAGCGGTAGGGGTAGGGGTAGGGTTTATGTTTAGTCGTACCTACCGCTATAGGCAGGGGTAGGTAAGTAGTGTTAGGTTAGGTAGTTAGTTAGATAGTTAGTTAGTTAGTTAGTTCGTTAGTGAATGAGTGAGTTAGTTAGGCAGGTAGGTAGGAATGCAATGCAAGGTAATGCAAGGTAATGCAATGCAATGTAATGTAATGTAACCTAAGGTAACCTAATGTAACCTAATGTAAACTAATGTAACCTAAAGCATCCTAATGTAACCTAATGTAACCTACGAGTAATGTCACCTAATGTAACCCAACGTAATACAACCCAATGTAACCTAATGTAATGTAAAGTAATGTAATGCAACAAAATGCGACGCAACGTAGCGGGCGTCTATGTTATGTAATATAATCCAATATAATCTAAATGGATTCTAATCTAAATGGAATCCAATGTATTTCATATATACTAGTATCTATATGATATGCATATGTAATATTATATATTAGATGTATATTAGTGTTTCAGATATTTTAAGATTATATAAGTAATCCAACTGAAAATCTATCCTCTGCCCGTTTCACCCTAGCGGATCTGCGCACCAAGGTGGTTCCATCCGGAGATGTTCGAAACTTCTGGAGGAACTCGGAGTCCAGTTCCTAACGACCATTGCGCCCACTTTAAAAGTGTCTCCGCACTGGGAAAGTATGGGAAAGTACAGCTCGAAATTCCATGAAATTTGGGGTTTTTGCCATGAATTGCCCACTTTTAAGTGACATCTGTGAAGTGCACCATCTCACAGGAAAACCCTGGCGGTGTCCTCACAAATCTCCTTCAAAGTGCTACCTGGGCATTTGGTCAATTTGGCCAACTCCGGTCACTGGTGCAGTCAAGTCCCACAGTTTCTTCTGGGTTATGAACAATGATTAAACACAAACAAGATGAAAGATGATGAAGCATTGAAGTTCATTGAAGCATGATGAACATCTGAGCAGACCCGTCACCCATCCTAGCCAGCAAAGCTAACCCCGAGCACATCCAACACCACCTTTGGGCCAGCGGCATATCCTTTCCTCCGTCCACTTGGCAGAGTCCGTGTCGGCAGATAACTGAGTAGGCAGCCAAATCCATGCTGTGAATGGGGGATAACCCAAATAGCGATGTCATGCCATTTTAATGGGGGATGATAATCCATGTTGATCTTGGGTATTTGCAGACATGACAAAGACATTTCACACGAGGTTGCTTCTGAGGTCATAAGTCCACAGATTATCCACATCTTTGATATGTTTTAATGGCTATGGCTCAAACTCACGGACTCACAAAATGCGTCGCGTTTAGTCCAACCCACAGCGGCAAATGCTGTAAGAAATGATAAAAACTGCCACCTCTCCAACCGCATGGCCCCGCACCCGTTTGAGGAGCTTCACATGAAAGCCCTTCGCTACAAACTCGGAGCACTGATGTCCCTGACAGAGCTTACCCCATGTTGGCACCCCCAGTCAGCAATGTGGCCATAAAGTAGGGTATACCATGGCATACCGGTATCCTGCATGTCTTAGACAAACCCAGACTGTCAGTCTCGGTGGAACCTGATGGTGGGAGACTTGGGGGCGCGTCAACTGATCAATCGGGACCTGCTAACAGTTGTTCTAAGACGCTGTTGCTGCCGAGCAAAAGCATGGCAAAGCACTTCAGCTTTTTACAAAAGGCCATACCATAAATTTGTGCATTTTGAAACCCGTAGTAAAAAAACTTCCATCTGAAGGACCGTATCCAGAAAAGATTATCTGCTGCGGCCTGGTGGCCATCATAGACCGAAAAAAAGGCGCAGGGCTGTGGAAGGTGGTCGATTGGCATCTTCAAGGCCTGGTTCGACACTCTATGGCTTCTGGTGAGGACAAAACAGTGATGTTGATCAGTATTGAATCCTGAAGTGTCAGAGGCACCTTCAGCTTCTTTTCGCCGCCAAGCACGCCGAAAGGTCGATTTTTTATTCAAATCATCAGATCATCAGATCATGATCTGTGGCGGATTCCGTCCATACTTTGCTTTAACAGATTCAAATGAGGGTTTCTTGCGTCGGTAGGCATCTACCACTCCTTTGTGGTTCAGTCCACCGGGCCTTCTGCCACAAGACCCTGTCATGTTGTACCAGGCACACAGAGGTGGTTGTGTATCTGGTTTATAATGGCACGGTCCGCAGGCTTGTGCTCCGTCGTTGCCTTTAAAATCAAAGAAGTGCCACAGCGTAAGCCCTGACACATTTTCGTTTCCCAGAGCCACATCAACGTCTCGATCAATGACCTCTTGCTGGTACTTGAGTGTCCAGTAAGCATCCGTCGTATTCTTGTCCCACTCAAACAGGCCGCCAGCCCCAGTCTCACTAATGAAGAAGGGCTTATGAGGATAGTGGTCTCGGACCCATGCAACGTTCTGGTTCCAGAAACGTGCCGGTGCGTCCAGCTGATGCTGATCAGAATACCACGCGGGGTAGCCGTTAAAACTCACAGCAGTTGCGTACTCCAAGCACTTGTCGTCTTGCTGTTTGTTGGAAGCCCAAGACAAAAGCCGCGTTGGATCCCTTCCAGCAATTCGTGCACAGGCAGCATATGCAGGACAGGCCTCTTGATGATTTGAAGGACCTTCGTTGAACCAAGCCCACACCATGATGGATGGGTGGTTCATACTGGCTTCCAACATTTCCTCAACTTGTTGCAACTGGTACTTCATGAAATGCGACCAGTCTTGCATGTCCTCTACAGACACACCAGGGCCCAAGGTTTCCTCCCACATCGCGAAGCCTGCCATGTCCAAGCGATCCAGCCATCTTTGATCCTGAGGGTAGTGGGCTCCTCGCACAAAATTGGCGCGGCCCTCTTTCAGCAACGCCATGTCTGTGTCCAGTTGCTCATCAGTGGGAGAAGCTCCAGTATCGAGCCACCTCTGGGCGCGGCTGGTCTTTCATGGAACTGGAAGAGAACATGTTTTGTTTTGATTTTGGAATCAAAACGTATATCAAAACCAAGTGAACATATGGAAGAGATTGGAACATGTCAACATGATTGCACCAAGCCACTGTGTATGATGATTCCAGCCATGCAATTTGATCTTCTCCCCATTCAATGTCACGTGTCCGTCATCCACGCCCCAAATTCGCATGCCAAATCGCTCGGTTACTGAAGCACCAAAGGTTTTCACCGTAACGGTGGTAAGCTGTGGATCAACGTTGGACCAAGTTCGTGGCCTCGGAACATCAATGGCCTCAGCTGTGATGCCTGGGATGTGTCTGGGATGAAGCTCCAATCCTGTGACTTTTGCAGATTAAATGACTAAATATGGACCAGAAAAGTGTGGGCGCACCTGAATGCTAAACTTCCCATCTTTGGCTGTGACATTGAAGATCTCTTCCTTGAAGTCATCGAAGGCAATCCCACAGGAAATGGGTCCGCTAAAGTTGGAGGTTAAAGTCACATTGATGTCAACCTGCTGGGTGTGATGGGATGCGCTGAAGAAATTCCGGACAAGATTTGGCTCAAAAATGGGGAGTTCCAATAGGGCCACCTTTTCCCCAGGATACAAACATGACTGGTTGTTTTTACATTGATACTGTAACCAATGTCCAACAATACTTCTCCATTGTGGCAATCAAATTCTCCACTTCCCAACTCCGAAATTCTCAAAATAGGCTGTTCATCACCCTCAACAGTCAAAGCTGCTTTTTGACACACAACTTTCATCGCAGTTCTGCCGCGCCTGTCCACTGGGATACCCTTTGCTGTATTCGCTTGCTTTCGGAATGACATGGGCACGCCAAACCCAGGCCTCACGAGGATCATCTGGCAGGTCGTGCAACAAGACACTTCGCACCAAACCGCCATAATGCCAGAAGTCACCACCGGTGTGCAGTGGTGCAGTGGTTCGGTTGAAGCGGTTGTCTGCTAATACAAAAAGTTCTCTGGTGATTTCCGATGGTGATGGTGATTCCAGGTCAAGCCACCAGGGTACAAAGCCACCAGCCCGGTGTTCTCCGACTTCTTTTCCATCTACAAAGACTCGGCAGTAGAAGGAGCATCCCATGAACTGAAGTCGTGCACGGCCCTTCTGCTGGAAGCTCCTTCGGTACATCGCCACGCCACGACGTCCAAGGATTCCAGGGGGCACGGCATCAACGCTGGAGGGTACCGCAGCACCGTGTGGGGTCAAGCCAGGCGTGGTTGTATCAAAGTCCTTCGCAGATCTCGCGGCACAAGTGCCACATATGTGCCACATATGTGCCACATATGTGCCACATAATTCTAACTGCAGAATATGATGTTCAATTGTGTGTGTGTGTGTCCCCGGAATCATGCGTTCGTGATTCTTGTAATATCATATATATTGTACATAATATATATATATAATATATATATATATACAGAACAAGAGGTGTTGAACAGAAGTGCAAATGCAAAACACACTGTCTCTGCAGCTAATACCAACAAAGCGGCGGGATGATTGTAACCGCTACTCTGGTCTTCATCTTTAGTTCACGTAAGTCGCCAGCCGCGGAAAACAAGGAACTCACAAATCAGACAGAGTATGGTGGAACATCGGGCCACATCCTACAACATCCTTTATCTTTAAACCATCTAAGCTTGGAATCTTAAAACCATCTAATATCATCTAATACTATCTAATAACTAATTAATATCATTAATATTATAGATTAATATCAGCTAATATCATCTAATATCAAATCTAATATCATCTGTTCAAAATCTTCCCATATCTACTCAACAGCACAGCAATATCCAGCTATCTCCTGGAGGACATCCAAATCCTTCGAGGCATTGAAGCCGAAGAGCCACTCGCCATCCAGGCTGGTCACTTCTCGTCGGCCACCATAGTGGGGCCAAAAGTCATGTGAGGCGATGGCCACCAGGAAACGGGCCACCAGGAAGCGATACATGGCGCCGTTGGCGCCCAGCTGTAAGCAGAAAGTCAGCTGTGGGAACACCATGGAACAGGTACAAGATGCAACAAGAATCAACAGGATAAGGAGAAGACAAGGAGAAGACATCTCTTCATCATCATCTCAAGTGCAACTCACTGCTCTGCCGCGGTGCCTTCGCCGCCTTTGTGAGGTCAGGAATCTTCACATGTCGATCCTGGTACCACCATTTAGACCCCGCTTCGACCCAATGAAATGCTGCAAACTCTGGGATATGTGGGATTAAGCCATTAAGCAATCTAACTGTAAACATCACTGCCACCAAAACCTGAAATACATCAAATTACAGTATTGCAAATTACAATAGTTTCCCCACCGCCCAGTCACGTGCTTTCTGGGGTGTCTGGTACCAAAGCTCGAAATGGTCAAGTGCGGTTCCAGGCATGGTGTCCTCTTGCTTCGGTCTCCGGCCCTGCATTGAAGCGGAGTCTGCGAAGAGGCAAAATTCCGGCCTCGGCGGTCAGCCGGAGGAGTTTTCAGTACCAAACAGTGGATTGCTGGTTCCCCCAGCCGCGTGAACCAAAATTTGCGACAAATCTGAAGCACTCAGGCACTGGCCGGCTGGCGGGTGGTGGTGGCTCCTTTTCCCTTAGCGCAAGTTGTGCGGCAAAATACATTTGGGCAAACACCCACACTGGTCTCGTAGCAATGGTCTGTTTATGCTCTGCATCCCCCATCATTTCAATCCTTGCTGTGCTATCACAAGACATGGCATTGTCTGGGAATTTTGGGAAAACTGGTGGTTGATAATTTTTTTTCAATATTTTTCCTCATTGAAATTACCATAACTTGGAGATCCCCTATCCCGACATCGGCAGGGTTTGTGCCACCGGGTAAACGTCAAGCTGCTCTGCCAGCTCTCGCCGCAAGGCATCGAAGTCTACCTGGCACTGCTGGCACCAGACGGGTGATTTGATCCACAAAACCTGCAGAAAACCTGGGGATTTCTTTTCGACGTGGTGATTTGACCAATTTGGCCATCCATTTTTTTTGGGATGGGAGAACTAACCAGCAAGTTATGGGACAAGGCAAGCACGGAAACCAGTTTTATTCTAGCTTCATGGCCACTTGTTTCATGGTAATTCAAGTATTAGCTATCCTCTCAAAACGTCTGTGCCCAAGAAAATGGAAATGGAAATCGGATGATTTTGGAATTGCCTGCGCACATCCTGCGCACTGTGCACCGTGTCTTTCCAGAATTGAAAACATGGCATTGCTCAATTCTCAAGCCTCCTAATCCGAAGGTTCTGGTCATTTCGAGCACTTTGCCACCCAAATCTACCCTGTACACTTAAATCCTTGCCATATCACACATCATCATAGATGACGGTCATAAAGTCATAACATATCATAACTATATAAATCATTTCAGAAGAGGTCAAACTTGGGTGTCCCCCTACCTCTGGAAGGCCGCTGTCCTGCGAAGTGAACTGCAACGAAGGAACTGAATAGAGAAGAAAGAGAAAGTAGATATGTACACGAACACTGCTATATGGTGAACTGTGTCTATTATATATATATATTATATTATAATGCACAGACAAGCAAATCATACAGGGAGTGTGCCAAACAATTAATGACACCACCAGGTGCGCGAGTAAACTGACTTGAGTGTGTAGAAGTACGACATGTTGATGGCATGCATCTACAGCGGCATGTATAATTCATGCCAAAATATTCTTGGCATGTGTATGTGTGTGTGTGTGTTCTCAAACGTATTGCGGATACGTGTCCAATTTGAAACAATCCAAAAGTGTGACGCAGGAATGAAGGATACGTACAATTTGAATCAATCTTAAACTCCACAGAATCTGAGGATTAGTTCCTGCTGTGCCTAGACTGTACTCTGCACAAGAGAAAAACAACTTCTGTTTGCAACACTCATGTCTTATTCGGTCTAGCCAAAAGCTTGGCTACTGCCTACAGCTTGGCTACAAATGGCGCGGTGAAACTATTCGATTCCCAAGCACATTCATCGCAAGGCCCTCATCTGGAATAGAGCCCATGGTTTGACGCCAGCCAAAGCTCACAGTAAGGATCACCTGAATCTGCCTGCTAGAAGGCGGCAGCGTTTCTGCTTTCTGCCGTCCTTCCAAAAATTCTTAGCTGCAGACAGCTCTGCCTCGCATCTTGTTCTACAAATCCCACCCGTGAAGCACTTTGCAACACCTTCCTCTGGCCAAAGTTTCGCACAATAGCTGTCTGCTGTAAACGGGGCCACCAAAATTCAACCCTCGAGGACGTGTAGAAGCTTGGTTGCGCAGGGTGCATTGGGAAGACATAAGCTGAGTCTTTGAAGTTTTGATACTGTCTTGGATTGAAACATCTTAAAACCATAGTTCGCAAAGCTCCTTTTAGCACCACATTCTTGGAAGCATCTTGTAGCGCTCCTTCTCATCTGGCATTCAGACCCTGGCCTGCACTTCCAGATCGACGGGTACCGTGTTTACCAGTCTTGTGGCCCCCTTCATAGAGATGGACTGTGGCGAGACAGTCTTGAGAAGCTGCTTGAAGACTCGCAAAGACGGAACAAATTATCTGGAATATCTGGAGCAGGAACAGTAAGCGGCCGCTCGAAAAACTCTGTGACTTTGGGGAAGCTGCTACGGTCTCCCATGATAATCGATAGTTTTCTGCAAATTGATCAACTGTGAACTAGATGTGAGCTAGAGGGTGTTTAATCCACAACGGTCCACAACGTTAAAAAAAAAAACGAACATGCAAACATCAGTACGAAGAAAACATATTTGGACAACTCCCTGATTGAGAGGCCAAGGAGTTGTTCCCTCATTCAAGAAACAGGGGAAAGTTTCCCTGAAACAATCAAAAGTTCCCTAGAAGGTGATTTGGTGACCTGTCTTCACTCAGCTCTCTCCTCCTCCTCCTTGTCTTCCTCCTGCGAGCCGTGTCGGATGAAGAGATGGGCACTAAAATTTGGATCAGTTACTTGCAACAAAAAATGAATCGAGAAGAACAGTATCCTAACATGATCACCATGACTTTGCAGAAAAACACATACAGGACAAGAACCACTACATGCTAACAATATGCATGATTGAATACTGAAAAACACCATATGTCGGTCTCTGGATTCCAAATTGCAGCCATGTGTTTTTGGAATAATTGCTGGTTAACCCCCCAGAAATTGCTGCTATTCCCATGTTCTTTGCTTCATTATAGCACCACGTGTGTGCAATTCAATCCGCATTTTGGATGGTTGAGATCCACAATTCTGTTGGTGAAAGTGAAATCCCTCATGTTTGTGGGTTGCTATATGTTGCTATATTGTCGACATAACATTTCTCAAGTCGAAATTGAGTTGCTGATATCCCCATTTCTTGCTTTAATTTTGATGCCGAGGGAATCACAGATTTTCTATTTTTTTTGTATTAACCACCCTCTTTATATGATTGGGGTACCCATGCTGATGTTTTCTGAACATTTTCCCCTGATTTTTTTATCATTTTGATGGTCCAAACATGGCAAGGTGCCGCCTTCGTAGCCTCTTCCGAAGGAAGCGGCTCCCCCTGCGCCGGCTCCGGCGCTGCTTCAGCCGGCTCCGCCGACTCCTCCGCCATCGGCCGGCGGCCCAACCCGCGGGGTTGGGGAGGCAAGTTCCCTTCAGCTGAGCCAAGAGTGAAGAGAGATTTCAGTCTTTGTCTTGGAAGATTTCGGAGAATTCTCAAGATTTCTCAAACCCTGATCATGATTGGATAATATTGAATAATTGATTTCACTGCCGCCATGGACAAAAAATCAGCTGGCTCCGTTTGAGATACCTGCAGCAAGATCATGTTCTTATTGGGCATTCCTATCCAGAGTAATTGATGATGTTTTGATATTGATATGCCTTTAGCGTCGCCGTCTTTGCCAGATTTTTGCACTATGTTCGGAGGTTCGCGAGTGTGTTTCTCTGTTTTCAGATGGATTAAGTACACGTAATATTATATATATATGTGCATATATATATATTACGTTCCAATAAAAATACGCATCAAAACCTTGAGATGAAGCTCACGCCACATAAATCTGCCCACCCAGAAGTTCCCAGGGTCATGTTTCGAAACAATCAAGCGACAAGTCGTAAGTCAGGTTATTTGCCCGTAGCAAATTTCTAGGCAACGGCTGTGAGACTTCCATGTATCCCTGCTGGCTTGTACGAGCATTGTTGCTATCTTGAGGTCATGATCACTGGCAGTTCTCTGGAGCTCCATGCCCACTAGTCACTAATCCAAACTGATCTTGTACAAAGTGCCTTGGCGGGGGCATAGATAGCCTTGTCGCTCAGCAGGACTTCCGCTGAGCGAACTGTGGAATTTTGCAAAGACACAGAGGTTTGCTTCCTGTCTCCACGTGTCTCAAACATCTGGAAGCCTCCATAAACAAACAAAGAAGATCAATCAATCAAGGCATATCAAGGCCGTATATAAACTGCCCGTTTGCATCTGATTTTTCGGGGAAACGGCACCACATTGGGAGATATGCAGCCAACCTGTGCAGCGGCACTTCAGCTCTGGTATGCTGCTTTAATGGACCGAGAAGCCGTCGCGCTCCAACGGCTCCGACCATCACCAATATTTTTTCAAAATCCAAACGATCAGCTGGTGGAAAGCTGTCGTCTTCAAATCGACAGGGTTGCGGTGCTGGCTAAACTTGCCAGATCAATAGCAATCCCAGGAAAGCAAACAAGGGATCAAAGTCTAAAAGATTAAACAAATTCAATTTTCCAAAGGCTTCAGAAGCAGGAAGAACTTGTCACCCCATCCAAGCCAGTCCGACGTGACCTGGAAGCACAATGGAGGAAAGAAAGAAAAATCACCTACGATGGCCTCAATGTTAGTTTTTCACAGTTTTTCAAGCAAATCACAAAGCACACACTCTCATGCAGAGACTCCATTTTTGGCCTCAAAGCCCTTCTTCTCGTAGAATCGAAGGGCCGACCTCAGGATCTGACTCCAGCTTGTGGGCCCTTTGCCAGGCCCCCCCATCCAGGTGTCTGAAAATGGGGTATGCCGCTATGCCTCAAACATGATCAGTTTAATAAGGAAAAGCATGCTTCGCCATGGGGTTTAGGGGTGCCCTATTCTCGAACAACCCACGGAAGTCCCTGAACCCGAAGTCCCCCGGAGTCTTCGTCGAGCTGCCAATTATCTCGATGTACATGCAGGGCGATTAGGCGCAAACCCCAGGCACGTGCCTGGCCCACTTTGACAAGCAGATCTGTGCAAAATTTTGGCAAGCCGTTCCGGTTCTAAAAGCATCCAAACAAAAATAGTTTGAATACAAAAAACAAAATACGAGTACGTGTATACATAGAATTGTATCGATATAGTTTGGTAAAAACCCATAGGAAGTGCATCAAAAATGCAAGAAACGCACATCGAACTTGAGACCAATCCCTGACCTTGTCCTCCATAAAATTCAACAATCGAGAGGCCAGGCCAGCACCGCGCCTTACCAGTGACAGTTTAGAGAATCGATGGATGCATTTAAGATTATTTTTTCCGGGAAACTTATATACAAGAAACCATAGTTTTACCCAGCAAACATAGTGGTTTCCTGTAAATGTTCCCTTCATCCAATTTAAGGGCACAAGGCAACAATGGTCTACCATCTAAATCGAAGTGGTTTCTGCATGTTTCTGATGTTTTCTGCAACTTTCCTCTTCAACCAAGTTCAGGGTTTCAATTTGGGCCCCCAAAACCATAAATCAACAAAAATGGTAGTTCAGTGGATACTAAATAGATATTTGGTTTTGCTTTCCAGTACGCAGATGGAAATCCTGTGAAAACCCTATAATAATGCTACGGAAACCTTGTGGAAATCAATCCTCAGACCACCGTGCCCCCAAACCAAGGTCTTGAAACCGCTATGGACTCAATGTAGGCCACAGCCTGGCCATGCTGTAGCAGCTGCTTGGAAACCAGACCCAAGAAAAGTTGAGGACAAGAGGGCATCGCTGGCATAGCGACCTTTCAACCATTTCAATCCATTCCAAACCTTCAGCAAACGTCCAACTAAATCCCACTAAATCCCATGAAATCATATTAAATCCCGTTGAATCATATGAAATCCCATTAAATTCCATGAAATCCTATGAAATCATATTAAATCCCGTTGAATCATATGAAATCCCATTAAATTCCATGAAATCCTATGAAATCATATTAAATCCCGTTGAATCATATGAAATCCCATTAAATTCCATGAAATCATATTAAATCCCGTTGAATCATATGAAATCCCATTAAATTCCATGAAATCCTATGAAATCATATTAAATCCCGTTGAATCATATGAAATCCCATTAAATTCCATGAAATCCTATGAAATCATATTAAATCCCGTTGAATCATATGAAATCCCATTAAATTCCATGAAATCCTATGAAATCATATTAAATCCCGTTGAATCATATGAAATCCCATTAAATTCCATGAAATCCTATGAAATCATATGAAATCCCGTTGAATCATATGAAATCCCATTAAATTCCATGAAATCCTATGAAATCATATTAAATCCCGTTGAATCATATGAAATCCCATTAAATTCCATGAAATCCTATGAAATCATATTAAATCCCGTTGAATCATATGAAATCCCATTAAATTCCATGAAATCCTATGAAATCCGTTGAATCATATGGAAATCCCATTAAATTCCAGAAATCCTATGAATCATATCATATATGAATCCCATTTGAATTCATATGTGAAATCCTATGAAATCATAATTAAATCCCGTTGATGAATCATATGAAATCCAGAAATCATTTAAATCCCGTTGAATCATATGAAATCCCATTAAATTCCATGAAATCCTATGAAATCATATTAAATCCCGTTGAATCATATGAAATCCCATTAAATTCCATGAAATCATATTAAATCCCGTTGAATCATATGAAATCCTATGAAATCATATTAAATCCCGTTGAATCATATGAAATCCCATTAAATTCCATGAAATCCTATGAAATCATATGAAATCCCGTTGAATCATATGAAATCCCATTAAATTCCATGAAATCCTATGAAATCATATTAAATCCCGTTGAATCATATGAAATCCCATTAAATTCCATGAAATCCTATGAAATCATATTAAATCCCGTTGAATCATATGAAATCCCATTAAATTCCATGAAATCCTATGAAATCATAAAATCCCGTTGAATCATATGAAATCCCATTAAATTCCATGAAATCCTATGAAATCATATTAAATCCCGTTGAATCATATGAAATCCCATTAAATTCCATGAAATCCTATGAAATCATATTAAATCCCGTTGAATCACATGAAATCCCATTAAATTCCATGAAATCCTATGAAATCATATTAAATCCCGTTGAATCATATGAAATCCCATTAAATTCCATGAAATCCTATGAAATCATATTAAATCCCGTTGAATCATATGAAATCCCATTAAATTCCCGTTGAATCATATGAAATCCCATTAAATTCCATGAAATCCTATGAAATCATATTAAATCCCGTTGAATCATATGAAATCCCATTAAATTCCATGAAATCCTATGAAATCATATTAAATCCCGTTGAATCATATGAAATCCCAATAAATTCCATGAAATCCTATGAAATCATATTAAATCTTATGAAATCCCATGAAATCCCATGAAATAACAGCACCCTCACAGCATCCGACGCCAGTGCCCCTGCACCCGCCTCCAAAGCTCCAGCTTCCAGTACCACTTCTAGGTCCACGGTACATTGCACCGAGGGCTGGGCAGTGGGAAAGGTGGCATTGAGTGTATTGTTACAGGTAAAGTCATCCGTAACTCGGAAGATTGCTTCCCAACTTCCTTTGATACAGGATCATACATTACAATTAACCACGTGCCAGAAGTCCATGCAGCCATGAACCAACATGGGTTTAGGCCACTGCAAATCGGTTTTTTATTACAAGTAACAGGTTGCGCATCAAATTTGTTGGCCCGATCTTTCTCTTCCTCCACCTCGCCCCGCTTTCGCCCGCCTCTTCCATATCATCACTGATGTGGCAGCCCTGAAGAGCGTCATCAGAGTGTCACCACTACCTTGCCCCCCCAAAAAAAGAACCTCCTAGAATTCGTCTAAGGGTTTTTGACAGCAAAACCCTCAATGTGGATGGCCAAAAGTTTGACTTCCTGTACGTTACTGTAGATTTTCCCTGACATCATCTGAGTGATCCCAAGTGAACACTGTCCCAAGCGCATCCATTGCATGTTGATTCGTCTGCAAAAGTGGTATCCCCAAAATCCACTCATGAATACTGTAGTCATCATCATCATCAAAAACATCATCACCATCAGCGGCAGCATCATCGTCACCAGCACCATCAGCACCATCAGTATCAGCATCAGCATCAGCATCATCATCATCATCATCGTCGTCGTCGTCGTCGTCATCATCATCATCACATCACCACCAGCAACATCATCAGCATCATCATCATCATCAGCATCATCATCATCATCATCGTCGTCGTCGTCGTCATCATCATCATCATCACATCACCACCAGCAACATCATCAGCATCATCATCATCATCAGCATCATCATCATCACCAGCATCATCATCAACAGCAACATCACCATCATCATCGTCATCATCATCATCATCACCAGCATCATCAGCATCATCATAATAAGAATAATCATCACCACCATTATCATCATCAGCACCATCATCATCATCATCATCATCATAATCCATCATCATCATCATCATCATCACCAGCAACATCATCAGCATCATCATCATAATAAGAATAATCATCATCATCATCATAATCATCATCAGCATCACCATCATCATCAGCAGCATCATCATCATCAGCATCATCATCATCAGCATCATCATCATCATCATCATCACCAGCATCATCATCATCACCAGCATCATCATCAACAGCAACATCACCATCATCATCATCATCATCATCACCAGCATCATCATCATCATCATCGACAACATCACCAGCATCAGCACCAGCATCAGCACCAGCATCAGCATCATCATCATCATCATCATCATCATCAACAACAACAACATCACCAGCATCATCAACATCACCAGCATCATCATCATCATCATCATCAGCATCATCATCATCATCATCATCATCATCACCCCTGAACTGGGAACTCCATTAGACAACCATTAGCCAACCATTAGCCAACCATTAGATAACCATTGGCCAACCATTTCTCATTGATGGCTTTAGCTCACCTCAGGTGCCAGTAAAAATGGTACCTCATTTTCAGACACGCCCTGGCTGTTTCAATACCAGTGATGCTTCTGACCTCTGGCAAGCGCTTTACCCGCAGCACTGAGGCCTGGGGAAAACATCATGGGTGAATCTAGATCCTTAAATGGCAAACATAGATAGATATGGATATGGATGTAGATGTAGATGTAGATATAGAGACAGAGATAGAGATAGAGATATATGGATGGATGGATGGATAGATAGATAGATAGATTGATAGATAGATAGATAGATGGATAGATGGATAGACTGATAAATTAAATATGATATATAATATAATATATATTAAAATATATTAGATATTAGATCCGTATATATATATGTATACCTATACATGTATACATATATATATATATACGTACCGTATATATGTATATGATATATACATATATTATATCATCAATATATACATATATACGTGTATATATATATAGTTGCGACATTCTACAGCACAATCAACGGGAGGCCATTGGATGGTTTTGGGTACCTGCTGAATCCGTCAAGCAGTGACTTGTCAATCTGTTGCTTGGCCCACAGCACTGATGAGCTCTTTGCTTTCTCCTCACAGGAACGAGCCACGAAATGGTACAGTCCTACCCTGAAGGTTTTTCAAAACGGTTCAGACCTCCGGACCCAAGTGAAAAATGTGGCATGGACTCGTGGCTCATTTTTTTCTTCATCAACAAAATCATCAGTCAAGTCTGTCCTGGGTCGCGAATTATGAGACTCAAGCCATACGAGTCAATCATCTTTCCGCACTCCAGAACTACCTGGCCGAGTTGGACACTGCTCCTCCAGCCCGGAGGCCGCCGGAGGCCCGGAGAATCCCAATTTTTACATTTGGGCCCGGAGAAAGGTCAGTTTTGGGACCCCGAAAAAAATCATCTTTGCATATAAATACATGTAAATACTGGAGAAAATTATATAATATTATATAGACAAAAATCAAACAATCACAGTTTCAGCTCAACAAATCATTGCACCGAAGTAGCTCAAAACAAAAAAAATGAATGTTGCTTCTAGATGGGCATGTTTGCACTTTCGAGAACTGAATCCTGCATTCACTGAGACTTCTGTTTGCAGTGATTCGGCCCGCCGTTTGCTGCTGTGCTTTCACCTATGTATCCGGGTGTTCAAAGCTTGAAGCCGTTTACTTTCTGAGACTTTCCTCACACTGCTCTCGCACTTTTGCGTCAGGCTGTCGCACCATTTACACCTGCGTCTTTTTATGTATTCTTGCATAAACAAGGACTAGGATATGTGTAGATAGAGTGGGACTCGTGATTGTTGTTCGTTGTTTCAAAAAATACAGATCATTGTGGTTTCTTCGCTGTGTGCGGTGAAATCCTCTGCTATTGCTGGGTAGGATAGGCTGACCGAGCATTGGCACCTCTCGTGCTTCTCCCTCTGGAAGTTCTGCACGATCCTCCGACAAAGACTCCAATACGGTGCCTTCGGGGTCGGTCCCATCAAATGACTCGAATCGTGGAGCGGTTGGAGTCGAACCGTCACCGTGGCATTCCCGCGTCACTTTGAGCATAAAAATTGGAAGTTCCCCAGCTATGGGGCCGAAGTACGAGTATCTCTGACTCGCTTCTTGGTTCCAAGCTGGCAACGGCATCCAAAAACAACAAAAATATACAAAAATGGTCAAACATGTGTTTCACAAAACCATACAAAGGACCACATGCTGATAAGGCCTAAACCTGACTTATCTGACTTATCACTGCTGCAGGGGTTTACCAACAGCTCTTCTGTTCCCACCTTTAGGGCCAGCTTCCAGCTCCTGCAAGGCACAAGCCTCATAGTTATTCCAATCTGAAAACCTGGCGCTGTCGGTCCGACATTCCAAAAGAACGGCGGACGTTACAAAGTGCAACGATCTGCTGGTGTACCTGGTGTACCTCCTTTTCAAGGTCTGATGATCAAGAAAACTCAGACTACACAGTCGACAAGAAGGGTGCAGTCGAATCTTCCTTTTAAGAACCTGCTATATCTATCTATACATCTTTTCAGATGTTCATTCCATGGCAAGTACATGCATGATGTGTGGCCAGTTTGCTGAGTGGTCAACGTGGTTGGAAAAGATGTGAGTTGCAGCAGAACTTGCACCTTCAGCTGATGTTCAAAGGCTGAACACTGCGCGGCTATTGAAGATTCATGTGGAAAGGGCAACCTAACCAGGATATGGCGCTCACTCATATAACAATAACACTGCGGAGAAGAAAAAGAAAAAAGCAAGTTACATACATCGATATACATATATACGTATATTCAGTATAATATACAGTATATGTTTTGCATGCGCATAAGGTAAGACGCGTATGCGTTCATGCAATAAGTCTCACGTCTTTTCCACGTCAGCCCTTGTGAAGCCCAGTTTTCTCGACCTGCAGCAGCGCACCACACGACTAAGATGGCAACGATAAAGTTCCTCTCCACTGCCATGGATGGAACCTGGGGCCATGGCGGAGGGCCGATGCCGGGCCGGGGAACCCGGGGAACTGCGGAGCACCACCGCACCTCCTGAACAATCTCCCGAGTGGAAAAGGTGTATTGCTCCCAAAGCCTGGACGCACCCTCGAAAATGATGGGCAAAACATGATAAAACCATCAAAAACTCCATAGTTGATCATCTGTCCCATTGTGTCCCATTAAAAATATTAAAATGGGACAAAACATGATAAAATCACATCAACAAAATACGAAACGCTCAAATATTCAAAGGGCTGCAGTGTGTTGATCACAAGAGGCCTGATTAGCCTACATATGGTCTGCGGCTTTGCATTGATCCTACTCAGTTTTAGATACCAAGTAAGGCACAGTGGTTGGTGCAATGAACACTGTCGTTAAGATTGTGTACAACAAGTACAGTATCCAAGTCAAGTTCGAAAATGATTGACAAACGATGTGTGAACAAACAAACAAACAAACAAACAAACAAACCAACCAACCAACCAACCAAACCAGACCAGACCAGACCAAACCAAACCAAACCAAACCAAACCAACAAACATCAACAAACAAACAAACATGTCAAGATAGGAGCATCACCCTTCACTGAGAGCGGGGCTCACCCAGTGAAGAGACCTTGCTGCTTGGTAGTTAATGGTAACGGAGCGGATTCCAGTACGCAAAAAGATGGCAAGTAAAGAGCATAAGAAAACAAAAGAGAACATGAGAAACAAAGCAATGGCGAGAAAAGCAAGATAAAGGCATTGGCATTGACTCAAAAGTTAATAAAGTTAATGCCTTATCATTTGCCAATGCTAACCCTGAAAGGTAGAGAACTAACGAGACCCAACTCTAGAAACTCAAACGAAACGGATGGAGCCAGGTCAGCCAGGTCAGCCAGGTCAACGGGTTTCCGAACGGTCTCGAGCTTCAGATCTGCCTGGCCGTCTCGATGGAAAAGATCCACGGGGGAAGACCCTGGTTGAAACATGCCTATCTTCAAGCAAAACGCGGCCAAGGTCCAGTTCAAGCACATGAAAATGAGTCCTGGGATAGGGAATCATTGATAAACTCTTCGCTTTCCATTAGATTGTCAATTTGTTCAGTCATTCAGGGTAGAACCCCATTCTGAAGCTGCGGGCATGCATCTTGGATGTGTTCATTGTGTCGCTCCTTCAACCGTACCGGCTACAATCTTTCTTCAGATTTTTTGGTCTCAGCTGCCTCTAAGCTAGTTGGTCAACAAGACAGCCAAGAAAAGAACCACCCAAGAATGGATCACCCATGTTTTTGAGATCCTCCAATGAAATGATATCATCTACGGCACAAAGTGATACAGGAGACTTCATGTTTCATCGACATTATCTAAAGTAGGTATCGTTTCATTAAACCTGCAATGGAGTGAACATAAGTGAACCAAGCGGCCTTTTTCGGCGAGCTCTGGTAGCCTTGAAAATCTTTGGGGTGACGGTGGGGCGCGTGAGACTTACAAGGGATGAGAATCTCTTTCGACAGTCTGAACCCCACAGACTGAAACTCCATAAACAGCCAAAAATAAGGATGGAAGAGTTCTAGGACCCTAGGACCGATGACGGCACAGATTCATGATCCGTGGAACAGGCACCAAGCATGAAAATGCGAACTCATCTCATAATTTCACGCACCGACGCAGTTCCTGCCCAAGGGTTCATGCATGTGGGTCGAGTGTATGTCTTATGTTTTGGCGCTGCTGCAACGGATCTATCTTCGGTGGCTTCTATGTATCATACCAACGCGAACGGTTGACTGGTAAATGTCTCAACCCGGCACTGCCTTTCACTCTGCGAACCTCTTGATAAGTCAAGAGTCTTGTCTGAGGTTCGCTTTGTCGTTTGATAAGCGGCAAAAGACACGTGTCTTTTCGCTTTTGGTAGGTTGAGGCAGCGATCCTGGATAGGAATGACCCAGTGGCTTTCAAATGGGTGCGAAATTAAATGGGCAATTATTATTTTTTGGGGGGGGGGGGACAATTTTTTTTTGGTCGTCCAGGCTCCCTTCCTTGGTTTTTGCAGCTAAAATCTCTCATTTGGTGGATTTTGTCGCTAAAATCTATCATTCGCACTGTTCATCAAATTTTCGACTGGTTTCAGGATTTTTTCACTGGTTTTTATCGAGTGTTTCATCGTTTTCATTGGTTTGTCCATGATTTGCTTCAGTTTTTCCATGGTTTTCTTCAAATTTTCCATGGGTTTCTTCAATTTTCCATGGTTTTCTTCAATGTTTCCATTGTTTTCTTCAAATTTTCCATGGGTTTCTTCAGTTTTCCATGGTTTTCTTCAATGTTTCCATAGTTTTCTTCAATTTTTCCATGGGTTTCTGCAATTTTCCATAGTTTTCTTCAATGTTTCCATGGTTTTCTTCCATTGTTCAATGGTTTTCTTCAATGTTTCCATTGTTTTCTTCAATTTTTCCATGGGTTTCTTCAATTTTCCATTGTTTTCTTCAATGTTTCCATAGTTTTCTTCAATTTTTCCATGGTTTTCTTCAAGCGTTCCATTAGTTTCTCCAATTTTTCCATGGTTTTCTTCCATGTTTCAATGGTTTTCTTCAATGTTTCCATAGTTTTCTTCAATTGTTCCATGGTTTTCTTCAAGTGTTCCATTAGTTTCTCCAATTTTTCCATGGTTTTCTTTCATGTTTCAATAGTTGTTCTTCAATTGTTCCATTATTTTCTCCAATTTTTCCATGGTGTTCTTCCATTTTTCAATGGTTTTCTTCAATGTTTCTATGTTTTTTTTCAATTTGTGCATGGTTTTCATTCAGTTTTCACTTGTTTTCATTTATGGTTCCAGAGATTTAATTGATTTTTACATGGGTTTCATGTTTTTTTCCAAAGTTGTTCATTTATTTTTGGAAATGCACGATGTGCAAACTATAAATTGTAGATGTAAAGA